GGGGGGGGAAATAACTGAAGCATTTGGGAGAATTAGACGGGGCATCGCACGGAGTCTTTTTGTCAATGGACGATAGCGCCTAGTCCCGATGCGATACAGACTAGGGAATGCAAGGCATTCCGGGCGCCAGGTCCGTATTTCACACGAAACCAGAATGAAGATAAAGCTGTCATTGCGAATCAATGCCTCCGAATCGTCGATACAAAAGCTGTCGGCTAAACATGACCGATAAAGGGCAAGTCGGTCCGAGCTTGTCGCTCCGATAGATTTCTCGCGGAGAAATCAAGGCACCGAGAGTTATTATTCGACGCATGATAGAGCCACTCTGAAGATTCATTCTTCGAGCCATAGATACTTGTCAGTGAGACATTGACCTAGACAAGGATCCTCTTTCAGAAGAAAAATTGCGCCACGAGGTGGACAATGAGAAGTATCTTCATTCTCTGATTTCATCGACAGATCGTCCGTCTCTTCGGCGCCGCGCCGGACAGACGCGGGCATTTTCGCTCGAGATGGGGAAAATGTTCCTGCTTGTGTCTTGTCACGGAAGAATTTGTCAGACGACCGAGGAGTAACCGAATATCGTGGTCAAGCGGAATGTGCACCGAATCGTTAAGCGAGGTGCATTTGAACTCGAGCCCAGCTCTCCCTTGTGAAAACACGGAAGCCATTCCGATCATGAAAGCTTACTTCGAGCACTGTGCGCTCGAAAACAACAATTTTATTCTGCATCTATGCGCCAGAAATCGATCGTAGGCACTTTTCCAATCGCCAGAATCAGGTCAGGGCCAAAATCTGCGTCAGGATTCTTCAATGACGCTTTCTGCGAACCGATTTCCTCCGCTCCATGACCACACACCTCAGCATTCTACACGCTTCTAAGTCGTTGTTCTTTTCTCGATTCTCCGGCCGAGATCTATTCGCTCCGGTCAAGATGCATCATCGTTCTCGAGGTCCAACTTCTCTGATTTTCGCGTGATCCTGTATATTTGCGCGCTCGCTAAAGTTATGTCCACCGGAACCCACACCGTTCCCGCAGTAGAGATTTCGGATCTACTCGCCACTTATCCTGTCTATTCACGAACGGAAACGCTAAAGACACCGCCAAAAAACGACCTCCATGCGTGTGGCTTCCGGGTGTCGTTCTTCTGAGTCGACCAAAGTTCGTAAATACAAGAACCCTGAGAAATAAACGGAAAAAGAAACAAGACCGAAGGGCATGCCGTGATTTTTCGATTCTGCGAGAAGGAAGAGCAGCGGTTTAGCTTCTTCGACCAAATATCGGATTTTTCCTTCATCATCGACCCTCAGGACCGAGCGCTTGATCCAACCCTAGAATTAGGTAGTATAATTCCCAGGATAATCTAACGCCGTCTCCCAGAAAAATAGTCATGAACGAAGGGAGGATTCAGTTCAGGATTTTTCTGCTCCGGAGAAGTACATAACGGCTGCGAGTCCTAGAAAGTGAATAGACTTTCATTTTGACTCGTGTGGGATCAAAAATGAATGCCATGCGAGAATCGCGTGACCCGACGAACGGTTTCGTTTCCGAAAATAGATAGTCGTGGATTAATCGCCTCGTTCTATAAACGAAGCCCAGAAGGTTTCAGAATCCGCAGCAGATGCAGTCGGTAGGATGGTCATATTGGGCGCACCTCGACCGCAGAAAGTGAGTTTCGTTCGAACAGAAAGCCAAGGTTAGACTTCTGAGCAAGAATGGAAGCACCTCGTTAGCACGGGAATTCCCCCGCTATAATTGATCGATTCTTCACTCGACATGATTGATTGATGAACACAACATTTCCTCGAGAATTGAGAAATCCTCGCGAGGAAGGAGCACTTTTGGTTAAACGAACGAATGGACTGCTAGCGTGGAAGCCGCATGTGCATGGGTTCATCTCGGCATTCATCTTGGCATCTCTCTGAATTCACTGCTGTTAGAAATCGAATGATCGGTGGATTCTGATTGGCCTACCCGATCGGGAAGAAAGAATCATCCCGCGAGAGACGGGAGAGGAACCATTCTCGTGAAAGGTCCGTGAGATCTCGTGATTGCTTCCCGAGCACAGTCAAGGCGAAAGAGAGATATACTCTTCGGACCTTGTTTGGAATCACTTTCACTGTCCTCAATGGGTTGGCCGCAATCCGGGAGGGCGGCCCTGTCTCCTTCGGAAGAGTGTCACCGTGCGCGCTAGACATCGAGTCACGCCGGCTGGGCAGAGGAGTGATCTGCCAGAAACGAAATCACCTGAGCTCGAAGCTACCGAAGCAGCTCGTTGCGTTACCGTGGCTTGACAAACACCAAAAAGAGAGACGCCTGAGTGATTCACCCCCTTAAAAAGTCTCTGGGACTCCGCGCAGATTATTATTCGGTCAGGGGGCATAGCCTCAACCTGCTATCGGAAGTTTCACTACGTGGAGGCTTCAGGGGAGCCTCGATGAGCGGAACAGATTTTAGAAGGAGACTAGAGCAAGAGAAGTCTAGAGCTCCAGAGTGAACGGGAGTGGAGGAATCTCCAGCTGAAGCCGCGAAATCGCCTCAAATAGATGAAAGACTGACCGGTGTCGCCAATCCCGGCAATGGTGTCACATACACTGCTTGAGTTCTGTCTGTGTCCACGCAGTGGTCTACGGTTTCCTCTATCCTCCCGGCTCGATGAATTGCAAAACGAGAATCTCACGCTCGGCGCGGCGTCTTCGCCCGATGGAGCGGAGAACAGGGGTCGGACACCATCGATCGCTTCTCAGAAAATTAGCTCGGCGACTCGAGAGTGATGCTCACCGGATTAGAGAAAAATACATTGTCAAAGAATTAAACACTGAACTAACCTGGTCGTCTGTCCCACACACATCGAGTGTTGGGCCCACATTTCGCAACTGACCAAACCCCCCGCTTGGTAAGGGTCTCAAGGCCGGCGCCGCATCTAAGGGTGAGAAGCCACACAGCCAAAGCCACAGAAGAACTGAACCGAATTTCGTCCAAAGGTAATGACCCCTCTTTTTCTTCTCAATGGGGCTCCCTGCGGATGACTCTGGAAACCAATTGAGGGCTTCACTGCCGCTCTTTCGATACGACGAAGTGAATGTAGAATAGACCCGTTGGAATATTTTCTTCCTCGGATGTTTCGGGCGAACCATAGGGAGGAAAAATTTTCAGTTGGGAGCCGGTTATTTTGGGAGGATATCTAAGATAGAGAAGGACGAGTGAGAAGGTTTCGAGAGCAGAATTCTGAATCAACTATTCCTTGCGATTTGGGCAAACTTGGTTCGTGAGACACCGCTGGGGACCTGCGGGCCTCAGTCGGATAGATCAATATTGTTGTACCACGTGCATATGATGCGGGGCTTCGGTCCCGTACGCGAGGAGTGATACTGGAGGATCTTACCTCTTTCCTTATTTTCATTCAGAACTTGTCAGGAACCAATCGTGACGCCCTGGAATCTTCACGCGATGAAGGAGTCTCTCGGAATGAGAATCTGATATTGTACGATACCCGTCCCGTCGATTCCATCAATAATAATGAGTCAATAGGAGAGTAGACAAGACTTCTGGCAGAGGTCATGAACGGATTATGCTCTGAAATGGGACATACCGGTCCGGGTATAGCGGTCGCGGGGTCGGTCTGGTGCTCGAGCTTGTAAAGCCTCGCAGGATGAACATTCCCCGACTGGAGCTCGGAATGTCGCGAATTGAGCCCTCGTTCCATGAGATAACTTCCCTTAGCGAGCTCCCTCAAGGGCGGAGCTCACAAGCCGACCACTTTATTCTTCCTTCCGGCGAGGACAGCCTTCGAGAAGACAGGGAGGAAGAAGTCGGCCGCGCCGGGTAGTGAGCCGCAAGTCCCTCAAGACCGTGGTGATAAGAAATGGTACCTCGCTCGACGAAAGCTCCCAGAAAGGAGCCGTGCCCCTAGTGGGTGCCCTGTCTCGCTCGTTCGTTCTCTCGATCTTAGCGTGGACTCTTATTCTGCTCTGGCGGTCGGCCGTCGAATCGCGTCAACCTAAGTAAGCGAGCCCAAGTGGGGGCGGGAGATGCAAGGAAGGTAGGGTCATCTTCCATGAACTCATGATAGCTGCTAATCCTGTAATTCATTTAGGCCTTGTCAACTTCATGGCTCAAGGGAAAACACGGGCAGCCCTTCGCTTTTTCTCGCTCTTGGCCGGAGAAAGCGTCTGCCGCTTGCAGTGACACGTTTGACTCGCCGTGCAATGTGAAGGGACGAACCCAAAGCCCGTGATCTTTCAGAGGGGAACTGTTTCCATTGAGGGGCGATACTCGTGTGACCAGCCCGAGGAGTCGATCCGAGAAGTATACCTAATCATTTCCGAGATTAGAAACTGGAGTCGGGTTTGATGAAAGGATCAACAGACGGATGATTCGTGGCGCCCACCTCGCATACTAGGGGTTGAAAACCTCTCGATCGAGCCAGCGAGCTTCGGTTAAGACTCCCGATTCCCCGTTGATCACATATCGAATGGAGAGAATCGTTCGGGTTCCATGCGGTCGCTAACGAAGCGATGCCGACGGCGGCAAGGAGGTCGAACGTGTGGGTCAGAACCGTGACGTTGCTGTTTGTCTGTGGATGAAGGTCGACCTCAGTTTCCAGTCTTACGATGCGACGACCGATTATTGTTTTCTCGGAGGTTCATATCTTCTGCTCAGATACACTTCGATGTATCGTTCCTGTAGTTTCCGAGAAGCTCTTACAATAGTCAGCAACACGTCATTCAGTGGTGAAATCGCCGGATTTTCCCGTTAAAGAGCACCAAGCGCCCTGGGCGCATTCTGATCTGCTTTTCTCATGTTCTACCTCCGCTGTGGATGCCTTTTTCTGTTTTCGGATGGTCGGTCTGGATTATATCGGCGTTTCCCTGGCAATGTTTCGTGCTCCCACATTGACTCTTACGCCAAAGTCGATTGTTGAAAAAGTTCACGAATGGTGTGTAAGATGAAATACCTTTCACGGCTGTCTCGAACCAAACTTTACGGATTGGAGACGGCCTGAGGCTAGACTGCGATTCCGGGGGAAACGCGAACGAGATCCGTTTTCACTGTCAAGGGATTGTTCTTCTGAAGAACGATCGCCCCACGAAAAAGAATGTAGCTCAGCGCTATTTTCCCCGAAACACGAAAATTGTAATGGCCCAATCAGAATTCTCCGGGAGCGTGCTCCAGAATAATCAAGCGAAAGCGAAGAAATATCGATGTCTATCGACAACTTGTCCTTCAGTTTTTATTCGTACCCTTCGATGAAGTAGAGCTATTATTACCTGTTTTCATCTCGAAAAGTTCGAGCATCACCATCGGCAAATGGGGAATTTATTATTCATCCGCGGTTCCACAGGGACCGAGCCGTGACCAATGCATCGGAATGAAGGCACCATTCGAACATCTGCGGATGAGTCCTCTCCACTTCAGAATTCAACTTCTCCAAATCCGAGCTCTGAGCTAGAAGCCGCGACGCCCTCTCCTCGTCTGGAGCGCGGCTACGCTAGATCCCGGACAGTTTCCTCCAGGGAAATGGCCGTTCTGTCCAGCGGATTCATTCTAATTTCTGCTCCTGCGGAAGATGTCCAGAACACGTACCGTATACCGGACGCTCCGTGTGGGTCGAGAATGCAATATGGAAATACATTACGATCCGATATGATTGAACTCGGTAATTGAAGTTTCCACTTCGAGTAGATTCACCGGTTCGCTGGTTCGACCTAATTTATTCATGTGGAGCCGTTTAAACAAGTGGCAGCGATCGAACGATCCTTCGCGACGTTTCGAGCGAGTGCGGCGGACGGGGAGCAAGCTCGAAGATGTCGACATGCTTAATCAAAATGCAAATTCACTTCTCTCTGTTGCTGTCGACGAATCCGCGGAGCTCTCCCTCCTCAGAAACTAAACTTGATTCTATTTCGTCTCTTCGAATGCAGTCCGGATCTCTGACGGGTGGATCCCGAGCGGAGAGGGAGGCGCGTGTTTCGGCGATCACACCGTTCCGAGCCCGCGAGAGATGAATATGAGCCCATCTAATGGTCGAATCTGATCTCCTCAAAAATGCCGGGCTACCTGACGCACACGTAGGCCGGAGCACGCCTGTCGACAGGCAGCCGGAGTCCGGGTTGAACTTGGTTTCTCTATGATATGCAACCATTATTGCTAATTAGCCATCGCTTCGCGCCCTCACTAATTTGCCCGTGTGCCGGATGCGATGCCCTCGAAGCCCCGAGCGAACTCGTCGAGAGTTCTCGACAGGAAGCACAGATCACGCCAACCACTGCTTAGATTTCTCGTTCTGGTCGCCTAATCTCTTGAAGGATGTGCACAAACCGCACGCGGGTCTCAACGTTCTTTCTGTCGGAGTCGTTTGCAACGAAAACGGAGAAACTCCGATTGGAGTTGGAGAAGATACATGGACGCAGAGTCGGACTCTCCCGTCGCTGCTATGGAGCAGGAAAAATGAGAACAGGTGAAATATATGGGCATCGTCTATCGGATACACTACAGAATTATGGACGACATATCCTCCTTGTGGACTAATTCTGGAAAGCATTACGTTTGATTTCGTAGCTCTCGTTTCCTATGGGAATGCGGAGGGAGCGTTCCGCATAACTTCACAGAGTCGGATGCTCGGAATAATATTATAGAATGCGGAGGAATATGATGGAATGCGAAGGAACATGATAGAATGCGAAGGAACATGATAGAATGCGATGCCGACACGCAAGCTCTGGAAGACGATGAGCTCCTGAGGCTGGCAGGAATAAAATATGTTGGAACCCTCGATCCTCTCATCTCCCCGATCATGGCCCCGAGGCGATTCGAGCCTTTGTAGGGGTTTAGGTAAGCTCGCTCGGTAGGCTGCTGTGCCATCTTTTGGATCGTGCGCTTGTCGCCGGAGCAGTCGTAATCTCATTTGAAGATATTCTGGAGAGCTCTGCGTTCGATCTCGGAGCTGTCGGCTCATCGGGTGATGCAAAGCGGGCGGTCCTCATAGTTTCGCAGACTCGGGCGGTCGGGATACCATGAATGACAACATGACTCTCATGCGATGCTGACTCGCGAGCTCCAGGAGTAGATGAGCTTCTGAGGCTGGAGGGAGTGCAGCTCATTCATACGCCCTGGATCCTCTGATCACCTCGATCATGCTTGCTTAGAGGGCTGCTGCGTCGCCTTTCGAATCGCACCTTGGCGGAACGGTCAAAGCATCTTGTGGAGAGGAGACACATCCAGCGAACACCGGAGAGAAACTTGCTAATTTTCCGGAATAACTTGAGAACGATGCGATTGATCGAGTGGAAAATTGCTTCTTACGCGAGCAGGAATGATTCTGCATCTACACGGAGTAATTCGAAGTCCTTACGCTAATAACTTCGATTTTTGGTACGGTGACGGACCGACACTACTGCTTTATTCTATAGGGGGATTACGTGGACGAGAGGGCCTCGCTCGACCGCACGACGGTCACTCGTCCCATGTCCGCTCGTTAGTCGACCTAGATGTAGCCAGTCATCCGAGCGGTGAGCAGCAAGCGGCAAATCAGATGCCACCGCCGAAATCAATGTTGGCGCGCATCCGCATAGCACCATGTGAGCCTCGAATTGATGAACTTTGCGCGGACTTCGCACTTTCTGATAATCCAATTCTCCGGGTTCACACTTCGGCCATGCTTCTGATAGCTCAACGTAGGAAAGCAAGATGAAGTAAAGGTGAGAGCGGTCCGTATTGGATCAAAGATACGTATCCACCTAACCGAGGCTGTCTCGTGCAGAGAGTCAACCGTCGCGTCTGACCTAGCAATCGAGTGCTTCCCACGTATAATCTACGTATCCTTCACGAAGAAGACTGCTGACTAATTTCTACGAATCGAACGATAAC